TGGAATTCTAACCGGGCTCAGCAACCGACACCCAAAAGTAACAGAAGACTTAGCAATATCTTCCAGATGCTTGACAATTAACACAAGCAAATTAATGCACCAGCACAGATGCTACAGCAACCAGCCCCTCTGCAGGGCAGGAAGCAGCTGCTGCATCTCCTCCTGACATTTGTCAGGATTGCAGCCTCGGAGAACTGGGTCAGACAACAGCACAGACAAACTGCACCTGCTCTCGCAGAGAGGCGTCCCGGTAAGCAACGTCGGACAACAACGTCACCAAGCAGAAGCTGAAGTTTTCTGCCACTGGAAGCAAACCTGCAACGTGACAGACAGAAAAATCAGCCACTCCTTAGAGAGAACCAACACGGAAAGAGCAAATTATATCAAAACAAGAAGATATGTGTGACTCCCATCTCACACAGTTCTGAGATAAACTGTAGAAAAATACGGTGTTGCACACAAAATCTAAAAGCACTCTGACCACCATAATTTCACCCTGAAACAATGGAAGAAAAATCATAATAATTAAAAACTTTCCCAAGTTTTCAAGTAACTTAAAAAAATTTGAATGATATAATACTATATATGTGTTCTTATATTAATTGTAAGAGATATTAAGGGAGCAAGAAATGAAGTGCCTGAAATAGCAGCTAAGCATCAAATAAAAGCAGAGTGTACAGATCTCAGATTCCACTCTCCTCTAACCACTACACAATCTTCTCCAACTTAATACAAAATATATTGAACACAAAACTATTTGGAAAGTTCCATCTACCAAAAAGTGGTCAAGCAGGAAAACAGGGAGCTATTCAACTTCCTCTTTGCTTCTATAGAAAATGAGTTTAAAGGCTGTCGAGCCAGGAGCTCAGAACCCAGCAGGACCTCTCCCCTCCCCTGGCACTGTGGCCTCAACAACCTTTGCTATTTCTATCTCCCGGCTGGTATTTCATAAGGAAGATCAGAAAATCCAAACATCACCTCTGCCTTTCCGGGCATTGCTTTCCTCTATCCACTGGACTTTGGGAAGACCCTTCAGGAGCCGCAGCAGGTACGGAACCACATTGTCCTTGTGCTGGAGAAGAAAATGTTCTATTTGAAATGGAGGAGAAAAGCTGAACCATGTAATCTGCAGATGGTTTAGACACATGGAAAGACTCCATTAACACACTCAGAACTCCCTTCCCATGATTACTCCACAGGCTTCTTAAATCTTGCAAAACTGATTTCAACACAGGCAAATGAAAAGTAACCCAATTCAGTGCCTGAAATCCAAGGCTTTTATTCCAGGCAACAGTTCATTCTCTGTAAAAAGTTGCAGAAAAATGTTCTAGAACCAGAATGCATCTACCCCCAATTTATTAACTGACAGCAAGGTCCCAAAATAATTTGAAGGCAGCTAGAAATTCAGAGTGCCAGTCCCACCTCATGGGATCCACCCCATGGCAGTCACTTCACACACCTGTGTGACACTCCAGCTCCCTCACCTGCAAATCAGAGGACAGCATTTCCCTTCCCCAAGGGGTTGGATTAACTAATACTGACTGCTGGTTTGGAAACATCATAAAAATGCTATGAAATACAATACAAATGCCTTATAAAAAACGCAAGAAGAACAACTCCAATAACACCCAGGCAAGCTGTACCACAGCACACGGACCCTCAGTTCAGGCCTGAAGCAAATTCCAGCAACATGGAAGATTTTAAAGTGAGGTCTAATGACTCTGGACCCGGGACTGGGTATATCCTCCCTCTCCCCTGCATGGAACAATATGATGCCCAGTGCTCCAGGGAAGAGAACCAGCTTGTCCTGCCCAGGCTGGCAGACACAGAAGGGATGCTCATGTACAATGCAGCCTGTGTGCTCTGCCTGTCTGTTTATCCTGGCCAGTGCCAGGCAGGAAAGGGCCTGCTGCAAACCTGACCCTCAGGAGTGCATTGGAACATCCCTGTCATTCAGGAGCATGTGGGGAAGAACACAGAGTGACACACATGGTTTAAGTAAATCCTCCTGAACAGTCTTTCCTTTCTCTCCTTAAGGTGTGATGACCAGAACACACGACAGCAGTCTGGCTGTTGCAGTGCCGTGACTACTTACTTTATTCTTCTATCTCACTCCTCAGTGCTGTCCTTGTTTCCTTGTGCTCCCCTGCCTGCATCCATCTCTTACCTCTGAGATTTTGATTTATTTTTATGAAGAAAAATACCAGCTTTTCATTCCTTCAACAACTGAACTTGAATTAATCTTCCGAGGTAAACAGTTAGCCCAGGTGGGGAAAATACCTGCAGGTCAGATTCAATCAGGAAGATTCCTAAAGCAATAACAGCATCCCTGCGACGTTCATCCAACTGGAATATCCCATGGAAATCCACTGGACACATACAGAGCAGCTTCTGCACCTGAAAAACAGCAGAGGGAGAGAACGGTGGAACAAGACAAAGTGTCAAAACAAACTGAAGTCTGAAGTGCACAGTGGTCTCTCCATCTTCTGGAAGACAGATGGGCAGTTACCCTCCTTTAGTCATCAGCCTTAACAAGAGCATTCAAGGGTTGGGAAAGGAATGACAGAAACCAGAGAAAGACAGGAAAAGCTCAAGTAGAAGTCAAACATTTCTACCACAACATGTGTTGATTTAAAGGTTTTTTTCAACACTTGATCAAAGCGCTGAAGTACAGCAAAGCCTTCCTTCACTGGCTGTTTTGGATGCGCAAGAAACGCACAGCAGGCAAATGTATCACATTTAGGCAATTCCTATAAATAAAAAACCAGGTGGATGGAGCTTTGGTTACAGCTGCACCAATGCACTGCTCATACACAGCACTGAACCATGAACTGTTACCAAGATGGGTATGACTTTGGCTCCAATCTTTCAGATTACAGATGAAGTTCTCAGAACTATTGTTTTCTCATTACTTATCTAATACTTAACTCCGTACTCAGCACACACCCCCCTAAAGAATACATCAAATCCCCCAAACACTTTGTTTTTCTGTGGAACTGTTAATAAATGGAAAATGCAGGAAGCATATTGTCTTTTCATGCATTTCCTTGATGTTAATAAATACTATCTAAAGAGAACTATCATAATAAATAACTATGTTTGACTCACCTATGTTTGAATGTCAAGTCACTTCCTATTTAGATAACTCTTTAAACACCCCACCTTGACATTTCTAAACCAAGAAAAATTTCCCTAGAGGATTACAAGAAGCTACTGGATACTCAGTGGAATTTAGGATTCTGGTCCTTCAACTGCCAGATCTTATAATTACAAGACTTGTAAGACAACAACACAAATAAGCCTCTTGCTCAACATAAAACACTGGAGAGGACAAATGAACTTTGGAAAATGACTGATGCTGCGAGTGTTCTACGTCAGGTTATACTTGCAATAACACGAGTGAGTAATTTTAGCTAGATATGAACAGTTAGTATCATTTAACTCCTACTGCAATCTGTCAAACTAATAAATAAATAAATAAAGGAATCCTTGGATATTTAGTGAACCAAAGCAAGGCTTACAGAAATTATTCACTGTTGGCTGTCACAGCAATGGCACGTTGCCAGAACACGAAGTAAGAAATGAAGGCGGCAACAGCCGGCCAGGAAAAAGCACCAGAGTTTTCATCAGCACCGAGCCGTGCTTTTCAGCTATTTAGTCATGATTACTGTGTGAGGCAATTCAGACGTTCTGTCACTTTTGGCTCGGGGCAGCAAAGCTCCCCACACACCCGCGTGTCCATCCTTGCTCCACAGCCCAGCAGATACCGGCCCGGGCAGCGCTGCACACACAGACCCCGGGCTGGCTTTACCTCCAGCCGAGTTTTATCTCACCCAGGCACGTTTTACCCGTGGGCTGGATTCGAGGGGACACCCGGAGCAAAGCAACCAGTCCTAATTAGGCTGAGACTAATTACGCCTACAAGACCCTGCTCCCCAGACTCGGGGGAGGCGCAGCCGCTGAGGATCCGCGTTCCTTGCGGGGACACGGGGGGGGCTGCGCTGACGGCGTTTTTGGGTCAGGATGGCCCACAGGAGCACCCACGGACACAGCCGGTGAGGCAGATCCCACTCCCAGAACCACAGACAACCCCGCCCGAGGGGAGCGGCATCACCCCGGGGCATCACCCGCCGCCGCTCCGCCCCGCTGCCCACGGGCCGCGAGGGTCCCCACGCGTGACAGCGCCGAGGGGGCCCCGGACAGCCCGCCTCGCACAAACACTCTGCATAGAAGGGCCCCGCAAGGGGCTGACCCTTCCCTGGCGGCCCCTCGCGTGACGTGCAAACACACAAACACGACCCCCCTCTGGCATGACAACCCTCCGACCCCCCCCGCACATGCGGCTTCCACGCGTGACAGCCCCGCAGTCCCACACGCGATACTCCCACACGGCACTCCCGCAGCCCCCGACAAGCAGTGACAACCCCGCCGCCCTCACAGCCGCAGCCCCCGCCCACACACACACGGCAATCCCCTCACAGACCCCTCACCTTCTCCAGCGGCGCCGGGTTCTGCACCGCCAGCGAGCGCGCCAGCGACAGCACGGTGTTGAAGTAGAAGCCGCGCGCGGTGGCTGCGCCGCCCCCGCGCCCCGCGGAGGGCGCCGCGGCGGCCCCGGCCGTGGCGGTCGCGGTGCCGGTCCCGGCCGCCGCCGCCGTGGCCGCCGTGGCCGCAGCCGCCGCTGCCGCCGCCACCGCCGCGGCCGCCATGTTGTGCGGGAGCGCCGCCGGCCCGCGCGCCCCGCCCCCTCCCGCGAGAGCACCGCCCTCCGCGGGATCGCCAAGCACCAATCACGCCGCCAACATGGCGGCCCCCACAGCGGCTTCACCACCGCCCGGTGCCCGCCCCGCCCACAGCCCCGCTCTGCAAAGGGGCGCGCCCAGCCCAGCCCAGCCCGACCCCCCCGCGGCCGCAATGGTCCCGCCCAGCACCGCCCGTCCCCAGCGGCGCTGCGGCGCCATCGCCCCGCCCACGGGAGGGGGGGGCACGCAGTGGTTCCGCCCGACGCGCGCAGGCGGAAGGAGCGGAGCGGCCCGAGGCGGCGGTTCCGTGAGGGTCGGGGCTCCGTGAGGGTCGGCGGCTCCCCGAGCGCTCCCCGCGGCTGGCAGCGCCATGTCGGCCGTCCCGAGGAGCTACAACCCGTTCGCGGAGGACGATGAGGAGGACGCGGCGGCCGCGGTGGGTGCCGGCGGGGCGGGCGAGGCGGACCGGCAGCGGTACCTGCAGCAGGAGGTGTTGCGCCGCTCCGCCGCCTCGGCCGACAGCACCGCCCGCTCCCTCTCGCTGCTCTACGAGTCCGAGCGCATCGGCGTGGCCGCCTCCGAGGTGGGTCGGGGCCGGGAGCGGAGCCTCCGCCCGCAGGGCCCCGGGGCTCTCTCGGCCCTCCGGGACGGGTGGTCTTGTTGTCCCTTTTCCCCCCGACAGTCCCTCTGCAGGGGCAGTCAGTGTTCCGCAGCCTCCCTGTGTTAGTGCCAGGTGGTTTCCTGCGTGATGGTTTGGGTTCTGAGCGAAAAATCCCAGTCCCACCCTATCTATGTATGGCTGAGAATGGGACTCGGCCGTTCCTTCATCTGCTTTTAATAATTCTTACTGAGCCTTATGAGTGGATTTTAAGCCTGTTTTTGTCTGACTGAAAGGTTTCCAGCAGTTCTCCCGGTCGGGTGCAGGGCCTGCCCTGTCGGTTGTTTGTGATGTGCTTGGCTTCATCCCGATTAATCATTTCCTTCATTCCTCGGTTCCTGTTTCAGAGCACTTTGTGCTGGGGACGTGGCTCATGAAGCTCCTGTCCATTGTGTCACCTGCTAATGGGGTACCTTGGGTGTCATTGCCCAGGTTAACCCCGGAGCAGCCCCAAGCGGCACGAGGTGCTTGTGCTCAGGGCGTTCTCGGTGGGACTGCTGTGAACTTCTGGACTTGTTTGTCCAGAAAAGCGCTAGGGAGGAATCAAGAGCTCAGGCTTGACAGGGGGCCTGTGGTAAAACTTGAATTCTGTGTGTTTGCTGCTTTATTGAGGCGGGGGGAGGGGAAGAAAAAAGAACGTTCAACTAGAATTTCCCACAGTTTAGCAAGAATATGATCACAAGTTCTTTGTTTTGCACTAGCTGCAGGCAACTTTCCTGCCAGAATAAATCTTTGTATTACTTTGGAATAGTGTTTGTGCCGCTGAATTAGAAAATAATGTACTTCCATATATAAAAATTCCTAAATTCTGCACTGTTAATATTAACTAAAATACTCCTGCAGTCTGAAGAAATTCTATTTGTGTTTATTTCCTTTGGTTATGCTGTTCCTAAATTATCAGGAACATCCCACTAAGGTGAAAAATAGAATCCCTTCCCAGTGAAGGTGCCATTCACAGCTAGAAATCGTTGTGCTCGCTCATCTCCCTGCCATAAAACCTTCAGGTTTGCGCCACATCACCCATGTGGTGCTGAGCTTGTTCCATCAGCAAGAGATGCAAATGTCAACCCCACAAAAGGGCAGCACAGCAAACTCCTGGATGCTGTTTGTAGCAGGAACCAGGGATCTGGCATGGCACAGGAAGGAGGATTTTACAGCTGGTTGATGCCATGGCTGAGCAGCAACTCTGAAATGCCCTGGGGGAAGAGGAGTGAGTGAAAAAGCCATTTGCCTTTAGAAATGATCCACAGAGATGAAGGACCCCTGGTATTTTTCTTTAGAGTGTCTGTTAAAATGTTTGATGTGTCAGTCCATCTTGGCTTCACGAGCTGCTCTTTCCCTGTGGGTGCCTGGCAGGAGCTGGTCCGGCAGGGAGAGGCTCTGAAGCGCACGGAGCAGATGGTGGATAAAATGGACCAGGACCTGAAGACGAGTCAGAGGCACATCAACAGCATTAAGAGTGTTTGGGGGGGCTTGGTAAACTACTTCAAAGCCAAACCTCCAGAGAGCAAGCCAGAGCAGAATGGAGCCCCTGACTATTATGCTAACAGCAGGTAAGTAAAATTAACGTTTTAGTTGGGCCTTGTCTCCCACAGCATCTCTGAAATGTCACCAGGATATCAGAACTTAAAAGATCTGTTGATTGTGTCAGGCAAACTCCTGAGATGGTTTCAAGCTCCCTGTTTCCTGTAACACCTAGAAAAAATATTCATACTTCTATTCGTATTTGTAGGGGTAAGAATAACTTTGCATTTGTGGGAAGTCAGTCCAATTACACAAAATTACACGAGTAATTCATCAGAGTCTTCTGAATTATCAGGCTTGCTTTAGTCTTACCAGGAAATCTCGATTTGTAGCATTGGTGTGCTAGTGGTTAAATACTGAGTGTGTTTCCCTCAAAGCTGTAAGTAAAAATGAATTCCTGTGAAACGACTGTGTCTTACAGTACTTGTTTCTCTTCAACTGAGAAACTTCTGTAAAGCCTGATAATGCTGCATAGCTTGATTTCCTCCATCCTCCACTAAAGGAAGGGAATATGTTGCCTCCAAGACAGAAGATGCAGTTTTGGTTTTGATAGCAATGTTTCCATTTGCTATTTTGAGCACAAAAGCGACCAGTTCTGCTTTCAGTGAACACAAATGCTGATGGGCAATAGTTTATGTAAAAGGAACATTTTGGATCAGGTCTAACAAACTTGCTCTTCTTGTGTAAATGTGATATCTTTTCTTGTTTAGCAGACTCAGAATGAGGCCTGTGGTCCATACCAATATTTTCTTTTTCTTCTCTTTTTTCACTAGGTTAAAAGAAGCAATGATGTCTAGTAAAGAACAAGAGTCAAAATACCAGGAAAGCCATCCAAATTTAAGGAAGCTGGATAATTCAGGTTTGTTAACTTTATTTTACACTGATTGCCTGTCATCCCTGCAGAGCAAACTTGCAGAGTGATGCAGTCAGAGACCCTTCAGCCTGCCCAGCTGCTGATTTACGTTGCTGTCCAGCATCTGGAGATTTGTATCCGAGCCTTCATGGCTTTGTATCCTAGGGAATTGTTTCCCCTAAAGCCCTTTATACCCATGCTGCAGATGTGATTTTTTTTTTTTTTTAATTTGGATACAGATTTTATTTAGCCCTTCCAGTGGGGAATTTATTCTATAGCCAGTAAAGACTTTAAAAGCAGCCAGTCTCGTAGAGGAGACACACAATGTGCAGGCAGCCTTGCCCCAGGTTTGCCAAAATGTCATCTTAATGTCGAGGGTCTCCTCTTCACCATCATTTGTCACAGCTGTCAGATGCATTTTCCTTGGTCTCTCAAACGTGGACTGAAACTCTTCCTACTCGAGTCATCACCTGATTCTCACAAGGCAGCGCTCGGGGTTTGGCCTCATTCCCCCTCCCACAGTGCCTTGACTTCTGTGATGGCTTTTATGTGCCAAGTAACTGTCCCTTTCTCGAGGGACGGTCGGTTAATCAGTGCAGTAGGAGCGGGGAATCAGCAGGGTACCCACAGTTGTGGCTGAGTAACCACAGAAGTGCTTTTGTGCCGTGGGGCTCCGCTCCCCTCCGTGTAATGCCGAGCTCTGTCCACTGGAGGGCAGAGCAGCTCCGGGGGCCTCGCCTGAGGCGGCTCCCTCGGGTACAGGGACCGTCCCACCTCTTGATCCCACCTGGATGCGAGTTGGGAGGCTGGAATTTACTTTTTTTTTCTCTCAGTTACCCGCTAGAACTAAAAACAGGCAGCTGAAAAGAAGAATTGTAGCTTCATTTGTGCATCCTGAGAGGTGCCCTAGACAGTGGTGTTGGACTGCTGCTGATAGCCCTGTGATGGGATTACCTGACAGCCGTGTTCAGGCTAATTTTTAACATCCTCTCTAAAACTTTAAAGCCTCTTCTCACTAGCTTTTTTATTATATAACATTCTGTATTCTATACCCTTAACAGACAATGATTTCAGCAAAGCAGATTTAGTTTCTTCAGTGCAAAGGGATGATTCCTACCCTAAGAACCAACAGCTGCGAGCTTACCACCAGAAAATTGATACCAACTTAGGTGAGTGAGAAAACTGAAGCTGTTTGATGTAATACAATTGTCAATTCTTTATTCCTAAACCAGATTTAAAAAAAAAAAAAAAGGCAGGCTCATCCATCCATTCTGAAAAATCTTATAAAGCAGGTTATAGTAGTATCAACAAGGAAACACTGCTTCAGGTTGGCATCCCAATTATTCCAGTGGGGATCCTCACTGCTGCTTTTTCTAGAGCTTACCTCTTATGTGGAGAGGTGCATTCAACTTACTGAGCTGACAGTTAAACTCAGATACTAAACTGTACATCAGCTTGGACCCAAATAATTTAGAACTCTGCACAGCTTTTGAAATAAACACGTTTTGCCAGAAATAGAAGAATCGAAAGGCACTAAATATTTAATTTGTGAATTTGCCGCATTCTTTTTATTGCTTCCCGAAGCTGTTCAGCTGACTTTGCCTTCCTTTGTTCTGTAACGCATGGACAAAGTGCCTCTTTGCTTACATGTGTCACTGTGTAGCTGACCTAGAAAAAAAGAGATTGGAAAGAAATCAGAAAGGAATGGATCAAAGAAATAGGCAGAAGAGTTTAGTGGAAGCACATTTGTTCTACTCACAAGCTGTGAAAAACTTGCTTGCTTCAGAAGCATTTATACCAATCAATCATGCGATAAAATAGGCACCTTGTAGCCAAATTAGAAAATCTGGAGATGGGAGATTTTCATCTATGATGAATAACACCAAAGATTTAAGAAGTATTGACGATACTTCTGCATGAAGTTTAAGGAAAAACAGTTGAGGTAGTGAGCAGATTGTGGATGCTGAGCTGAGAAAAGATGTACCTGATTTTCTGTAAAATACATTTAAAAAATAAAAATGACATTACAGGGTATGTCATTTGATAAAGATCCAGTTTGGTGTTAAGTATTTGAAGTTCACTTGTAATGGAAGAAAGAAGGAGGTGGTCACTTCTGGTAGTGATGCAGTACGACAGTGGAGATGCCAGTGCTGCCACTGCTGCAGAGGAGCACTCAGAGCTGAGAAGCTGGAACTGAGAGTTTCTCCCGCAGGAGAAGGGGGAATGCTGGCAGTGGCCATTAGAGGAGGGTGTGTCACCCCACGGTGGTTCCCCATGGTCCCTCTCTCCCCTGACAGATGAGATGTCTTCCGGGCTGAGCCGTCTGAAGAACCTGGCCCTTGGTCTGCAGACGGAAATCGAGGAGCAGGATGATATGCTGGATCGGCTCACAAGGAAAGTAGAGACACTGGACATCAACATTAAAAACACTGATAAAAGAGTCCGACAACTTTAAAGGATTTTTAGAATTTCTTTTGTCCAGCGTCAGTTCATCCTGGATGTCTCATTTCAACCCATCTCTTAAAAAATCTTGGATGGTGTCTGTTTCTCCTTTTTTCTGATACGTTATTGGTTTTGTTGTCCATAAAATTCCATAGGCTTAATTCAGCACAATACATGAAATTCCTCCTTAGTGTCCATGGGAATAGTGCATGTGGAGTGAAGTCTCTCAGCAGTGGGTCAGGATGCCCTGCTCAGTTGTGTAACTGTGTCGTGTGCGTGGAGGAATTTGCGCTCCACAAAGCTTCAGTGTCCTTGGCCTGGGAGCTGTGGGGAGAAAAGGAACTGCATTTTTTGCCTCTGTTTTGGGCAGGGGGAACAGAATGTGCTGCTTTGTTCAGAACACATGTTGCTAATTCTGTTTACCTACAGCTATGTTAAATTCTGAAAAAGCGCCGATTTCCAGCTGTAAAGATAATTTAAAGTGACTGTTGTGGCATTTCTGGGGCTTAAGGAATGAACTCTTCTGTGGAAGTTGTAAAATATCAAGGGTGTCATGCAGTAATGATAATATCCTGTGTGTGTGTTCCCCTTCCTAAGATGACTTTTGCCAAATGGTGAATCCAGGAACTGTGTTTTTTATGTTTGATCACTAAATACTAATTGCCTTTACAGTCTTTCCAGTAAAGATCTCTAAGGATATCATGGTCTGCAAGAAATGTTGACTGACAGTGACCCAAAGAGTTTGGGTAACAAAATCAGGACTTAAATGTATATGTTTTTAAAGATTCTTTTGCGGAAATTGTCACCATCTGCTTTTTTATTTTCTGCTCTTTCTCAGCTTATTCATTTAGGTGGTTATTTGAAAAAATAGCTTCCATTTTAGGAATGGAGAGTTGGTCTGATACTGCCCAAACAGACCACAGAAGGTTGTTTAACATTGATTTCAAATGTTATTAGGGATGGAGCAGATGCCTTGTTTTGCTGGGTGACTGTTAAGAAACTCCACGTGGGTTCACATCCACCTGCCTTGGCTTAGCAGGTATGAACAATTCCTGCAAATGAGGACAAGATCAGAAACATTTTTGGGTCTTCCAGATAGAAGTTGAGCCTTTCACTTTATTTTGTTGTTTTATAAGTATCACTGTAGAGCACAATAATCACAATTCAGCTCTAGCCTGAAGATACAACAACGAGACCTTGCTGCCTGTCTCGAAAACGAGGGAGTTGTTGTGGTGTGGAGAGGCCCAGGGACCGGTGTCGGTGTTGGAACACTCACGATCACCATGACAATGTGTGGCCAGGAAGAGATAAGTTCATTTTTTTAGGCCAGTGCCACATTGTGTTATGAACTCAAGGAAGACCTTGGTGTTTCAAGCTATCGAGCTCGTGTCCTTCACGGACATGGCATTCCCACCCTGCTCTTTCCTTTCTCAAGGGATTTGTTACCTTGAGCTCGCTCGCTGCAAAGTGCACCCAGTTGTTAAGGAGGTGAAACAGAACTCGAGGCTTTTCTTGTTTTACTGTGTCTTCTGGAAATTCACTTGTAGAAAAATAAATCACTAAAAAAGCTACACTTTTATTAAACATTGTATTATGGGAAAAATACTACTCCTGGCATTCCTTGCAGGGTTGAGTTGTGAATTGGATTTAAGATGAGCTTCTGTTTCCATTTGTTACTCACGTCATTGATTTCAGTCCCTAAATAAAAATCTGGTTTGCAGGGACATAAGAGCTGTTGAGTACTTTTAATTGCTTTTTAATTTTTGATTTGTATCATTTATGTTCATTTAGAGCCATTAAATACCTTATTAATATATCATCTTTTTGGGTGTATACCATGATTAATTCTCTTACTCTGTTAGAAAATTTATTAATTATATGATTTGATGTATCAAGAGAGACATATATTTATTGATACATTTATTTAGTTGATACATTTATTTAGTAAATTATACAGTTTTTAGTATTCAAAATGTTAAGTACCTCAGTGAAGGAAGATTGAAATTTTGATTATACGTAGTTTAGTTTATTTGACTTTTTCCTTTTAATAAAAAAGGTGAAAAGGCATGTATTTTTTCTTATCCCAATGCTGGTTACAGAAACTCTTGTGTCTTAGAGAAGTATATGAATTCTCTCCAGAACAGAGAGTATAAAAAATTGCATAGCAATTAATAACACTCCTTTTAGTGTGAAATCTGTCATTACCTGTAAGAAATTATGTCACAGCCCAGTGTCTGCTGAACGAAGACTCTGGTAACGAGGGTGGACACTGAGACTTTCTTGACTAAGTTGTGGCAAATGGAAGAGAAAATGTTGCTGGAGGATTTAATTGTGTTATGGGTGGTAAGAAATGGGGAGCTTGAATCCAAGCAAAAACCTTTCTGATGTGAGCTACTCCATGTTTAGTCTCTGTAATTCCCCAGAGTCAACTCAAGTTTCTGTTCAGATGTTTAGTTGTGTTGGCCTTATGGAATGTTCACTGCAGCCCAGATATCTTTGATGCCTTTAAAAACACAGGTAGGGAAGGGGAATAGAAAATAAATCCCTATTTCTGCTTTGAGAACGTTGTGATCCCAGCAGACTGGAATGCCAGGATCTCAGCCCTGTGGAAGTTACAGAGGTCTAACCCCTCATCTCTTCTAACAATGCCATCACTGCCTCAGTAACTACTCCTGCCTTTGCTTAGGTTTTCCTTTTTGTCTTGTTTAATGGCCTTGTTTTAAAGGATTATTTCCCACATTGGGGAAATAATTGCAGGGGGGAAAAGACTGTGCATGGGTATAAATAAATGTCTGCTACAAACCCAACTCCTTTCCTCTGCTTCCATGTAGGTGCTTTATGCTGGAAACGAACTTCGGTGGGACTGACCTGAGGAGACAACACTTTTGTAACAGTGATGATTTTTTTTTTTTTTCTCTTGGAATAACTTTCCATCCTGCAGGAAAAGGAAATTTAGAGGAAAATAACCACATGGATTTTGCCTTTCCAGGAAATGCCACTTTGCATGTGTAATGAAGGATTTACTTCAGTAGCTTTTCTTACTGTTTCCTGAGATGGAGTTTTATTTCTTCTTGGATATGCTGAAAAACTTAAACTGTGTGGGGTCTAGGAATTTCAGAAGAGATTTAATTTGCACTCACATGCTAACTTGATAAAATAAATGATTTTGCCTGCATATTCCTGTTGGCATGTAAACTGGTGTTCTTGCAGCAAAATAGTTCTGGTTATTTTTATTGGCTCAAGTAGAAGTTTTATAAGGTCAGAAGAAAATGGCAAAAAAGTATTTTAAGTATTCTTTACAAAAGGCAATTTTCTTGCTTCTCAGAAACTTTGCTGCTCAATTTGGAAGAGATTTTAACACCTGGAACCAACATAACTTCCTAACACAGACATAAGACTAAAAGCAACAAGGAGAGCCAATGGGAATAACCAGTATCTGAGGACTCGATTGTTAAATTTCCTGAGCATTGAATTAATTATTGTAACAAATGATGTGACTTTGAGTCTGTACTCCAAGGATCTGTCGCTGTGCTGAGCTGGATTGACCCATGGAAATCCTCGGGACACGATGGTGTCAGGGGCTCTGTTAGTGGGTGAGATCCATCTGAAGTATTTTGCTGCCCAGTAGCTTTCGTGATATCATTTGTTAAATGGTGAAATAGGAAATACTTTCCACCCACTCTGCCTTCTGAACCAACAGATTTTTGTAGGCATTTTTACAAGCATAGCGTCATACGGAGAATATGTGTTGATTTTTATGTTGAAATATGTAGGACTTAATTTTCAAAACATAGGTAGTGATTATTTGTGTCTATAGCTTTTTAAAAAAGAACTTTAATTCTGTGCCACCCAGGTATAACACTTTTTGTACAAGTCAAATTGCGTTATCTTTTATTTAAATGCTAAACTGGACTGTAGTTCAGCAATTTAGGAGATTGAATGAAATAAGTGTTGAATGGTAAGATGGTCAATAAAAGGTGCTTATTGTTAACAAAGAGTTTTTGCATTTATTTCGCAAAATTTTTTTATTACAACTTCATTGTCACTCTGAAAAGGGAAAATCAGTAGAGAGACTGTTTCTTTTTTTTTTAAATTCAGGTAACTTTGGTTTGCTGCCTTTATGCTGAGAGTTCTTCAACAAATGGGAATTGAGAGCTCTTCCATCTCTGCACTTGATTGTTACATATAGAAAAAATAATGCAAAGAGCACAGTGGGAGATGGCAGAGGATGGAGCAGTGTGGTGGATTCTGGATCTCTGCTAGGAATATTAATTGCTTCCCTGCTCTGCTTGCATGGAGAATCAGTTTCGGAGTCTTGAAAGTATTTCCCACACAGCTGTTTGTTTATGGCTGGTCAGGCATTTCAGCCCTTCTTGTGTTTTCTCAAGGACTTCCTTGCTTACAGTGCAGTCCCTGCCTTCCTGGGGAATGAGGGAGGGAAAGGGGGTTAAGGAGGCTCATCCGAGTAGGTAAAACCAGGCAGAGCAGGTGCTGTTGGAATGAAGGACTCCATGTTTCTGCCTGTCCCTCTCCTTGCTCCTGAGAACAGGTTTGGCTTTAGGAGGCAGTTCTGGGATTCTCATTTTGTTTTAGTAGGAGGGTTTGTTTGCTTCCAAATAAATTTATTACATATTCCTGAAGCAGAAAAATATGAAGAACAGCTCCACTGGGGCCAGAACTGAAGGCTTGGGAAGGCTCAGTTGAAAGCAAGCAGGGAGGTGCCCCCAGAATAAAAGAGTTGCCAAAGCAGGAATGCCAGGCAGGGTTTTCTAAATACAGGGACTCTGGAGCCCTGCCTCCACTGTAGAGTCTACATGGACTGTGACTGCTGGTGGTGAGGCAGAACCTTCTAGAAAATGGGCTTCCAGCTCCAGCTGTGGATATTTTGTGGAAAACAATGGGCCTCGTCCCATCATTCTCGATGACCCTCCTTTCCCCTCCCATTATCTGTCAGTCTGCTCTCTGTTGATGGCCAGCACTCCTGTGCCCGCAGGGAGCTCTGCCTGCTGGTCAAGGCTCTGAAGAGCTGCTGGATTTCTATTACTGGGAAGAAGAAGCCTTTGCCCAGCCCTGTGTGTCTCAGCCTCCCAGGGTCAGTGAGGGCAGCGGGGGTATGGATTGTGCCACCAGGGCATTAACCCTGCAGTGGAGGAAGAAAAGAATACAGTTTAGGATGTGTACATCAGGTGCTGGCAGCCCTGGAGTGGGAGCCACTGCCCAGAAGAGTTTACCATTTCAGATCAAACATGTAAGGGCAGTTGGAAAGAATGACACACTTTGGTTATCTTCCTTCAGTTTTACTCCACAGCTTTTCTTCAGTGGATTCATTTCACCAGTTCTGAGTTCGAGTTATGTAGGTACTAAAATCTGACCTGTTTGTCCTAAGATCTGAGCCCCAGATTTCTCTGAGAATTTCTGTGCAACCCCAGTGTTTGTTTGCATGCAATGTTTGTTGACTAGATGGTGCTGTCTGCGTGCCTTTGAAGGAAAATTCCTGTGGGAATATTGCCTTGTGTGAAGCAACTGCAAAGGCTGGTGGTCCAGTCTGCTCTTGGCTTCTAGTAAGGTCCACGGTGATGCACTAGGGCAGGTCTGGATAGTCTTTGCTTTATTGCCCTATTTTCACCATTGCCTTGTGCCTGCATTGGCCAATCTGTTTACATCTGTGCCCACTGAGCCTCTTGGAGAATGATACAGGATGTTCCTTCCCTCTCTGAGTGAAGTCAAGGCAGAGAGGCAGCCAAGAAATCCGGCAGTTCGGTATAAATAGGTTACAAAATTGTCGTGTAAGAAAGCAAAGGTTAA